GACCAAGCAGGATTCATCTCAGAGATACAAGGATGGTTTAATATTTTCAAGCCATCTATTTTATAAAGCACTAATAATCCAAAATATTTATTTATTTATTTTTATTAGTGAAGCACCATAAGGTACACTTGTAGACTTACAAATTTTTGTGCTTGGGTTTCAGTTATATAATGATCGAGTACCCATCCCTCCACCAGTGCCCATTCTTCACCACCACTAATCCCAGTATCCCTCCCACCCCCATCCCTTCACCCCACCCTGCCTCTGTGGCAGGGCATTCCCTTTTGTTCTCTCTCTCCTTTTGGGTGCTGTGGTTTGCAAAAGAGGCACTGAGTGGCAATCCTGTTCGGTCTATAGTCTACTTTCAGCATGCATCTCCCATCCTGGGCGGATCTTCCCAAGACCCTTTATTTGGTGCTCCCTTCTCTATCTGAGCTGCCTTTACCCCTAGAGTATGCAGCTGGCCTCCAAGCCATGGAGTAAACCTCCTGGTACTTATCTAGGCTATTCTTGGGTATTAGTCTCCTATTTTTTTACTTTATGTTCCCCAGATGAATGCAATCTTTCTATGCCTGTTCCTCTCTTTCTGACTCATTTCGCTTAGCATGATACTTTAAACACATATAATTGAGTAACAGAAAGCAATCCACTTGGAAAGTGACATAGGGCAGAAAAAGCCATTTTTCCATATAGACAGATGAAAACAGGCTCATAAGGGCTATGTAAATCAAAACTGTGTGGAAATATAATCCCATCTTTGTCAGAATAGCTAACATCAAACAGACAAAAATCCAAAGTAAAAGTACAGTGGTTAGGGAGCTTGCCCTGCAAATGGCTGACCCGGTTCTATTTCCAGTCATGCTATATGGTCCCTGGGCCCTGCCAGGAGTAATCCCCTGAGCTTAGGATCAGGAGTAAGTCCTGAGCACTGGATGTGGCCCCAAAATAAACTGTCACTGTCACTGTCCTCCCGTTGTTCATCGATTTGCTCGAGCGGGCCCAGTAACGTCTCCATTGAAGACTTTTGTTGTTACTGTGTTTGGCATATCAAATACATCACGGGTAGCTTGCCAGGCTCTGCCATGCGGGCAAGATACTCTTGGTAGCTTGCCAGGCTCTCCGAGAGGGGCGGAGGAGTCAAACTCAGGTCGGCCATGTTGGCTGTGTGCAAGGCAAACACTCTACCGCTGTGCTATTGCACCAACCCAAACTACTGTAGCAGCAATGGCAAAGGATATGGGGGTGGCTCAATATTGAACTGAAAATATGACCCAACCACAATGGTTTTGGCTAAAGACAATGAAAATACTAACTTGAAAAGATACATGCCCCCAGAGCAGGGAGCACTTTATCTTCTGTCTGTCAGTAGGCGAACAGATGAAGAAAATAGCTCTACAGGCCTAGGAACAGGATACACAAAGAGTAAATTTTGTCATTTGGAACATGAGTTTTATGCAAGTTTTGTAAGTCTGACAAAATTTTGTGATTCCACTAGTAGTTGAAATCACAAATAGTGTAATTTCACTCTGAAGAATCCAAAGAACAGAATAATCAAAAGCTAAAAGAAAACTGATAGATAGAGACCAACTGATGTTTGCCATACAGGACGTGGGAAAGAACACAGGACAAAAAGGGTGACGAAGATAATGAGTGTCAATGTTTCCCACAAAATGACATGGGGTATAAACATGGTATGGAGTTATACGTAGTAATCTTGTATTTCAAATTTGAAAATCCAATGAAGAGATAGAAAATAGATCTACTATGGTGATCAATTTGTATCAGATATTGTCTAATCATCATGTCATACGGTTGAAATTAGAATGATGTCTGTCAATTATACTTCAGTTGGGGAAAAAAAAAAGCAAAAACATCTGTTGCTGCAATGTGGACTTTTCTGGTGAGACTCCTTACAATATATAGGAGTATATTTTACATCCAGACATTCAGTAATCCCAACATTGCTCCTCCAAAGGCAAAAAGCCATCACTTATGACATTTCTGCTTGCAGGTCCAGGATGGCTGCAGAGAGAAGATGAGAAGCTACCTTGATTCTGGCTTCCATACCCAGCCCCAGAAAGTGATATCAGGGGTGACCTCTGCATGTCCCCCTTCATCTTTGAACAGAACAAACCACGGGAGTTAATGAAAGCTGGCAGAATGACATGAGAGAGAAAATCATTCAGCGGCAGTGCTATTCTACTGGAACTGGGATACTTGGACCATCTCAAGTTTGAACCACGGGCTTGTTTAGCTTTTGTGAATATGTGACTGTGGGTGAGCCAGGGGAAATTTCTTCACAAAAACCTTCCAGGTAATGAACAGAATTTTTAGAGAGGTCGTGACAACATTCTTGGGTGCAGGGGAGGAAAATACAGCAGCCCAGACACGAACATTTAAAAAGACCTTATTATCTTACCCACACAGAAGTGAACAGCATGTATAACTGTGCCTCAGCGCGGGTATCACACAGCAGAGCCCCAAGCAGGAGGACAGAGTAGGGACATTATCTGGAAGGCAGCTCTGCTTGTCACATCACACAGCTCTGCCATACAGCCAGCCAACTGCCAGGGGACAATTGGTTTCACTTTTATCTGAATCCACAGTGGCCAGTGCCTGGTGCCACAAACAGTGAACCGGAATCTTGGCCCTTCTTGGTCCCGCATGAGGGGCCCGGCCTGTTCCATCACTGGCATGGAGGACAGGGGGAAGCAATGACTGTCACTTCACTGGGCTGCTCTCGGGCTATTGGAGGATGACGTTAATAGATAAATGTGAACTATGGGGAATGTAGTTCCTGGATGTGGACAAATTCAGGAAGCAGCAGCTGGGAAACTGAGGCAGCATCCGCATATCTTCATCTCCCAGGAATAATCTACTAATGGAAGCCCAAAGTGTTCTAGCACAGAAGAGCTGAGTGGGGCTGAGGCTGTGCCATTTAGTTCGTAAACCGGCTGCTGAGCTGGGAGAGGGAATCTGGAGGAAGACAATGGCCTGGAAACGGATGGACCACACATCCAGTGAGAGTGGGGCTTTTGTCTAATGTTTTTTACTGCTTCATCTTCAGCAGTGATAAGTAGTTCCTGGCACCTAATGAGAATACACAAGAAGTCCTCTCTGAATAAATGAATCACTGAAGGAAAAGATACTGAGCTCCGCTGAGACAATTCAACTAGGCAGAGGGACACGGGTTACTCCCAGGGGTGGGGAGTGGGGGGGGGAGATCTAGGCAAGGGTGCAAGGCAAACCATTACTTTCAAGACACATTTAATTACTACATTAAAAGTATGTATCATCTAACAGCAGAGATTTCTTTCTAAATGTGATTTTTTACAAGGCAGGAGGATCAGCTTGCAAATATAAGTACTGAGAAACAAAGTTTCTAATAGCATTCACATGTACTTCTGAAGTATTTGTGAAAACATTACACAACACACAGACACACATACACACAGACGCACACACACACATACATACAATCTACAGATTGTACACCCACGTTCATTTGCAAGAGCCAAAATTTGGAAGCAGCCCAAGATTAAAGAACCGATGACAGGGCAAAGCTGTGTTATATATGCGCGATGGAACACTACTCAGCTGTAAGAAAAGATGAAATCATGCCATTTGAAACTACAAGGATGGGTCTGGAGAGTGCCATGCTGCGTGAAATTAGGAGAGGGGCAGATACAGAAATGTGATACAGATCACATTTGAGGGAGACACATGCTATCTTCCTCACATGTGGTACGAAAAGGGCACAGGTAAGGAACAATAAGTGCTCAAAGGCCACAGCAACTAGAACTGGTCTTTCCGAGGAAGCACATCACCTCAGGGGAGGGAAGGAGCAGCCCTGGGACACACTGGAGGGAAGCTGATGCTCTGGCACAGGCTGTGACATGGGGATGGTTTTGGCACGAAACCTTGCTATTGTCAATATCGCAAATCCTGATGCCTGAAATTAAACTTAAACAAGCCAAAACACCCCATCTCCATCCCCTGCAAAATCACAGGGTCAGAGAGATAGTAGAGTGGGCAGAGCGCTTGCTTTGCATGCAGCCAACCCAGGTTCGACCCCTGGCACCTGGTACCCCATATGATTCCTTGAGCTCCGTGAGCTCCTCCAGGAGTGATCCCTGGGTGCAGAGCCAGGAGCAAGACCTGAGCAGCCCAACCATTCCTCCGCCCCAAATAATGAGTCCCTTACATTTACACTTTTGGTGGAAATACTTAAATTTTAATATTAACCCCATTCCCCAACCCCCTAAAAAAGAAAGGCCACATAAGAAAACAAGTAAAAAACTTCAAAAAGTTAATTAGGTTCTAATTTTTCAACTATTAAAAAAAATCAAATGTAGGAATCAGAGAAAATTGGGGTTAAGATACCTGTGGCCTTACCGCAGCTGGTCTGAGATTGGTCTTCGCCCTACAGGGTCCCTATCACTGCTGAGTTCCCTGACGGGACCGAGCAGCACCCTCACACTCTCTGGGGGTCGTGTAGAATTGCCAGATCAGCCAGAGTATCATTGAGAGGGCCCCGCTACCCACCTGTAACCTAGAGTCTCTGAAGGCTCCGGTGAAGAGATCTCTTATAGCTACTTTTTTCAGAAATAAACAAATATGCAATGAATTAGTCCTACAGGCACAAGAACTACACTGTGAAATATTCTAGAACTTAAAGGCAGACTTTCTGAGGGCTGAGAAGATTTATGACAATGCCACTTTTCTATTTAGAGTATTCACAGTATTTTCAAAACAGAAGCCTGAATTTCTCATCCTGGCATCTAAACACGTCATGGCAATGGAAGATGAATGTACCTGGGTGCCACCGCAATGATACTCAGGATAAGCAAGGTGGATGCACCATCCCTTCAGGTTAGAACAGCAGATGGAGACAAGGCAAAGGAACTTGTGCTAAAAATGGTGCAGGAACAGAGCTCAAGGTGACAACACTGACACGTGGAGCCCCTGGAGAAGAAAATCAGGGCCCTGGCTGGGCTTACCTTGGACCATAAGCAAAGGCTCTTTGCCACCTCCGTGGGCCAGCATCTCGCGGCGGTAACGCTCCCCTGCCACCCTGGGGAAAGGAGAGTGTCACATACTGGTTACTCACAGCACTCACACTGCCTCTGTTCCTCCCCATCCTTCCTCCTCTCCTCTCTCCTCCCCTTCCCTTCCCTCCCTCCCTCTTTCCCCTCTCCTCTCCCTTCCTATTCCCCCTCCTTTCTCTCCCTCTCTTCTCACCTTTCTTCTCTCTCCCCCTCCCCTCCTCTTCTCTCCCTCATCCTATCTCTGTCTATACCCCCATCTATCCTGGGACATCCCAGGAGGGAGCACTGCCCACTCCAAGAACCACTACTCTAGTTTAAGATTATTTTCTAGAAACACATAGAAGAGAAATGACATCACCACACAGTCTGATGTTACTGCTGAGGCTCCAGCGACTCGCAGGCTCTGAGCAGTTAAGTTTAAGGGAGTCAGAAGTTATCCGTGGACTCTGGATGGGGCAGAGGTCAGCACTCCTGACCTCGGAGGGGTTCGTTCAAGGGCCAAATGCATTTTAACGGGAGTTTGGAATCATTTGTGCTCTTTTGCATTTTCATGAAACAGTCTGAGATGGCACTGAGCAAAGAGATGTGGAAGGGAGGGAGAAGCAGCAGGCAGGAGACGGTGACTGGCGAAGGACCACCCCCAGGGAACCTGCAACCAGAATGGAGTTGCTGGCAAAGGAAATGAAGGAAGTTTCAAGGCTGCATCTCCTTGTGCTCTGTCAGCTGGACTCCAAAAGGGCCACCATCGGTCCTACACATACTTAGGGCCTGAGCTGAACACGTTCTACAAACAGAAATTTTCCAATAAATGGCACCTGGAGACATGGCATACAAGCCACGCTGTCTCATGGGAATACACTTCCTTCGTGTGCATGACTACACATTTGGTCACAAAGAAGTCTGAGGATTTTCATTCCACTTCATTTCATTTCATTTCTTTTGGGGAGCACCTTTCTATGGGCAGTCCTGGGAAGATGGTCTCCACGTCAGAATTTCTGACAGCATTAGGGTCTCAAAAGCTGACAAATTCAAACACAAATCCTGCTTACATCTGCAAGAGGACACTACGGTGAAGTCTGCCAAGAGGCAGGAGCGGCAGGGGCGGGCCATTCTCAGCAAAGAGCAGGGCAGGCTGGGGCTGGGGCGGGGGTGGAGGGGTGTCCTCCAAGCTGAGCTCAGAGGTGTGGGGGTGCAGGAGGCACAGCACTCAGCTGCCATCCCCTCCCACTCCCGTCTGTGCCTGCTATGGTGCAGGGTTTCAGGCTGCCGATTTGCACAAGTGGACAAGTGGGATGAAAGGAGACTTTTTTGACCGAGGTTAAGAATGTCCTAGTCCAATGAGTACTTTCACTCACTTACTTTCACATGTCTGTAAAAGCATGGCAACTACGAGTCTGGGCAGGAAAGCTCACATAAACAGACAGAAATACCTAGAAGTAGGTGTCTTTAATAGTAGGTGGTTTTCCAGTAAAGTCTCATTCCTTTCAACAAGACCTCTTTTTGGACCTCTTTTATAGAAATCTCCAAGAAAGAACTATAATTCCCCAAATGGATTTATTATGGTCAATTTCAGCTTTAGATCTTTAGAAAATAATTAAATCTGAAGGGCAGACGAAATGTCTGCAGTGTGCACAGGGCAGGAGGCAAAATAATTGACAGGCTAGACTGTAAAACCCTGAACAATTCGGACTCAAGTCCAACCAACATTAGGTGCTGGGGACGTCCAGTCTCGTCTGACTGCCGGTCTCCGTGCTCCTTGGCCCCATCTGCTCACAGGGAGTCCTCAGCGAATGCTCCGAATTCCCTGAGCCTCTGAACTCACCTGTGCTGCCCAGGGGCATGTGGCTGTCTACCACATGCCCAGTGGGAACTCTGTGGGGGTCCCTAAAGGGCCACGATACTGTGAGCTTACCCCAGGGGAAGTCGGCCGTGCCTAAAGTTGCTGGAGATGTATCATTTGTTTGCTCAGGGAACAAAATGCTTCCAACGACCACCAGACCAGACTGCAGTTTGGCGGCCTGTGTTAAAGGGGGCTCCAGGAGAGGACAACGGGGAAGGGGTCCCCGCCGGCTGTCCTCCCGCCGACCCCCGCTGCCTCCATGCGGCCCTGCATAGCTGCCTTCCTGGGCCCTGGCGAGGCCAGGTGGGGAGAGGCTCACTCAGGGACTGCACAGGCTCAGAACCCGCCTCCTGCCATCCGGGCCCCTCCTCACCAGGGACAAAGCCACCACCTTGGACCCTGGAGAGACTGTGACCTTCCAGCCGGGACCTGGTGACACAGTGCTAGAAGGCCCCTAGGTCCTGCGCTTCCCAGTGCCCTCTGTCCTGAGCCACAAGCCCGCTGCCCCCCGGGCTCTGACTTTGCCATCCAGGGGACGCCTGGCGGCTCTGCCCAGACCCGGTCCTAACCCCCGGGGTACCTGACAGGGATTGACAGGCCCCTTCCCAGGATCTTGGGGGACCGGGAGAGTGTTTGTGGGTCCTGCCTCTCAGGACACCGGGGTGCAGGGGCAGTTACTGTCCTGGGCGTGGGTTTTTTACGTCCCCCCCACTCAGGACCAATGGGCACCCCAGTGTACGCCCCACAGCCCCTAACTCCTGGCACCCACTGACCCCCCACCCTGCCCTGGGCTCTGAGAAGAGCGGCCGCTGCAGCTGGCTCTCGACTGTGGGGGGTGCATGTTAAACTATTTTTTTTAAAGGTTTTAGTTGACTCCACCCTTCAGGTTATTTTTATTGATGTCAAATCTGTATGTGACGTGTATGGTTTTTTTAGCCCTTTTTCTTTTTTTTTTTTTTTTTAGAGGAAACTTTGGAGATGAACCTGGGGACCATAGCAGGGTACTCTCGGGACCCCGTCTCTCACAGGCAGTGGGATGCAGGACCAGAGCAGGTCATGTGAGGGGCCCCCTGCTTGGCTTTAGCCAGGCCAGGCCACCAATGAGGCTCGCAGAGGGTGGGGCTCCCTAAAGCAGAAGCCCTTCCCCAACTAGCCCTCCGCCCCAGCTCCCTTTACCTGTTGAAAGGATCCTGCAGGAAACATTCCTTCCAAACCATGGATGCCACCGCCCTGGACATCAGGTAAGAGTAGTACTTGGCACCATAGCCCACAAGGTGACTGAAACGGAGCTGCCAGGCCTGCCGAGAGAAAGAGAGGGCACCATGATGTCTCTGCACTCACGTCACACCTGAGAACAGAGTGTGCAGAGAGATGTGCAGGTGCTGGTCAGTCCCGATGAGACCAGCAGTAACTCTCGTTCGCCTGACACACGGCTTTATGGACTGAATTTGCCCCTTCAGTGCTCTGTGTTGAAGCCTCAAACCCCTACTCCTGCAGAATGCACTGCCCTAGAGGCGAGCACACTGGGCTGGGGACGCTGTGAGTGCAGAATCCGATCAGGAGTGGGAATGGGCACACACAGCAAAAAAGCTGCCACCAGCAAGTCACAGAGGGACACTGTAGGAGCACACAAGCGATGTCTAGTGCTCAGCACGGACTCATCCCTGCTGAGGTTCCTCTCACTGGCCACCACGAGGGAAGAACTGCCCAGCCCTTACCGCCAGAGCAGTGAGAATGGGGTGAGGCTGGATTCTGCCCACATGCTCTAACCGTGAATGCCTGGCCGTTAGCAGCAGGAGAGTGACTCGGGGAGCTCATGATGCAACATCCTTTTCAAGAACACAGATGTGGGTCTTACAAGATCATGAGGGCCAAGGACATCGAACAGTGAGTAGGGCGCTTGTCTTGTACGTGGTGACCGAAGTTAATTCCCCAGTGCCCCATGAGATCCCCAGAGCCCTGCTAGGAGTGATTCCTGGGCACAAAGCCAGGAGTTAGAGCCAGCACCCACCACAAAAACAAAACAAAACAAAAACAGGAACAACAGGAGCACTTCCTTGAGAGAACATTATTTCACTGGAAAATTCCTTTTCCTACACATACAGTTCTTTTTCTGTACCTAAAAATTGACTGCCTTATATCCCTACTAGAGGGGTTATTCAAGTGCAAATGTATATGCTTCAGCACTATAGTAAAGTTAGAATTAAGAAAAATAGGTTCAGATACGCTTTCAACTTTAAAACATTTACTTTCTGAAACAAACATGACCTGCAACATCTATATTCCCATGCGTAATTTAACATTAAAACTTAAAACAAAAATAAAAATTAGCCTGTTTGTTTTCTTGTTTTTATACTCCCCAGGGCTGGGTAAATAGTACAGTGGAGACAGTCAGGCACTTGCCTTGCATGCAGTCCACCTGGGCGTGATCCCTGGGCTCACACAGGATCATATGAGCCCCACCAGGAGTTATTACCTGAGTGCAGAACCAGGAGCAAGACCTGAGCACAGAAAGGCATGGTCGCCAAACAAAAACAACAAACCCAGGCCTCACACTTGTCAGGCAAGTGTTCTGCCACTGGGCTACATTCTGACTGCAAAAGTCCTAGTTTTTCAATTAAATTTCTCTTAGCATATCTTTTAATTCCCTATAAAATATTCATACAGTATGATCTTCACTGTAAAACTGTACACTAAATAATCTCCACTTAACTTATTGAGAAACATATATTAAAAAAAAAACCAGCTCCTTTAATCACAGCAATCTGGCACATTTTAGAGCAGAAGCTCCTAGAAGTATCTGACCTCATCCCTTTTTTCTTTTTTTTAAATTAATTAATTTATTTTAACGAATCACCATGAGATGTAGTTACAGACTTACAAACTTTCATGACTGTGTTCCAGTCAAATAGTGTTCAAGTACCCATCCCTCCACCTGTGCCCATTCTCCACCACCAATGTTCCCAGTATCCCTCCCTCCACCCCCACCCCTTCCCACCTGCTGCCTCTGTGGCGGGCACATTCCTTCTTACCCTCTCTGTTCTTTAGGGTGTTATGGTTTGCAATACAGGTATCAAGCGGCCATCATATTTGGGCCATAGTCTACTTTCAGCACACATCTACTATCCCGAGCAAGCCCTCCAACCATCATTTACTAAGTACTCCTTTCTCCATCCCAGCTACCCTCTCCCCTGTGCATGAGATCGGCTTCCAAGCCATGGGGCAGTCCTCCTGACCCTTATTTCTATTGTCATTAGATGTTGGTCTCCTATTATGTTACGACTAGTCTTCTATTATGTTACTACTATTATGTTCCACAAATGAGTGCAGACATTCTATGTCTGTCCCTCTTTTTTGACTCATTTCACTTAGCTTGATACTCTTCATATTGATCCACTTACATGCAAATTTCATGATTTCATCTTTTCTAACATCTCCATATTATTCCATTGTGTAGATATACCAAAGTTTCTAACCAGTCATCTGTTCTCGGGCACTCAGGTTTTTTCCAGATTCTTGCTATTGTAAATAGTGCTGCCATAAATATAAATGTGCAGATGTCATTTTTACTTTTTTGTATCTCCGGAATATAGTCCAAGAAGTGGTATTGCTATGTCAAATGGGAGCTTGATTTCTAGTTTTTTGAGAAAGGTCCGTACTGTTTTCCAAAAAGGTTGGACCAGTCAGCATTCCCACTAGCAGTGAGGAAGAGTCCCTTTCTCCCCACATCCACGCCAACACCAGTTGTTACTGTATCTTTGAAAGTGTGCCAGTCTCTGTGTTGTGAGATGATATCTCATAGTTGTTTTGATCTGCATCTCCCTGATGTTTAGTGATGAAGAGCATTTTTTCATGTGCTTTTTGGAAATTCAGATTTCTTCTTTGAGAAAGTTTCTGTTCATTTTGTCACCCCATTTTCTGATGGGATTGGATGTTTTCTTCTTGTAGAGTTCAACCAGAGCCTTGTATATCCTTGATATTAACCCCTTATTGGAGGGGTATTGGGTGACTATCCTTTCTCATTCTGTAGACTATTTTTGTATTCTGGTCACAGTTTCTTTTGAGGAGCAGAAACGTCTTAGTTTAAGACAGTCCCATTTGTTTATCTCTGTTTCCACTTGGCATTTCATCTTTGAAGACAGCTTTAGCTTCAATGTCGTAGAGGGTTTTGCCGACCTTTTCTTCAATGTACCTGATGGTCTGATGTTGAGGTCTTTAATCCATTTTGATCTGGACCTAGTCCCTTTTCAAAGCAAACAAACAACTACTCATTCCTCCCCCACTCCCCAGCACTTTACACCTTTAAGGAAAGACCCTCTGGCTGGTATCACCCACCTTCCCTTTTCAGCAAGAACTCTATCTAGTCCCTGGCTCTATGACACCACAACTTTCATGCTGAATCTCAGCACAGCTCACACCCAAGGATGCCCCAAACCTAAGAGACAAATCAGATTTGTACCTGAACTAGGCAAAGGTTCTCCTAGAAGGGAAGGGAAGGTGCATCAGGGCACTCAGAACCAGGAAATGAGGCCACCAGGCAGAAAGGACTGAGGACCCCCAGTACCCATGTAACTGCTGTTTCGGGAAGGATCTGACTAGGAGTAGCCGTGTGTGAGCAGGGTTCTTGGAAGAAAGAGACAGGCTTCATTTGGGTCTGGGCCATACCAGACATGCTGGGGTGGCAAGGTACAACAGGGGGTGAGAAAGAGTGCGCACAAGCTGGGGGGCACGTCTCTGTTCCCCAGGGCCCATCAGCATTGGGTGAATGTGCTTTAACTGCTATGACCTGGGTCTGCCTCTGAGCTACAGACCAGGATTCACCACCACGTAAATAGGGAAGCCTGTGCCCCAGCTGGAAGCCGAAGCATGCGAATGTGGCAGCAGCCCTCCTGCCCAAGCATTCTCATGGATGACAGTGGCGGTCGCAAGAACACAGACGCAGGAGACTTAGCTTGTTAGGATGAAAGTGGGACTTGGGGATGGGGAGAAGGAGCTTGGGGCACATGGCTGGTGGTGCTCGGGGTGATTCCTGGCTCTGTGCTCAGAGGCTGCTCCTGGAACACTGGGGGTGATATGTGGTGGGGTGGAACCCGGGCCTCCAACCCGCACAGGCTGAGCTCCAATCCTTCAAGTGGTATTTAAATGAAAAGCAAAATGCCCAGGCTCATCGATGTGTTAAACTGTGTCTCAAGAAATTTTGAGTAACCCAATTTTCAGTCAAAGGATCGGGGGTTTTGGAAATTGTGTACAACATTACACAAAGAGTGGCATACTCTTAAAAAGAAATCTACGTCAGTTTTTGTTGTGATGCAGGAATCTTGATAGACTACAGGTAATCCTTTTCACGTAAAGCGGCTGGCATGCAGTGGCATCTCCTGGAATGGAAGGAGCTGGCTGTTGTAATCTGAGATGCCACCAATACTGGTTCTCGTGTGACTGATGATATAAGACTGTCTGAGAGGAGGACCCCAAAACTGGTCCACACAGCGAAGGGACTTGGAACTTTTCCTTCTTGGTGATGTGCCAGAAGTACTTTGGCAGCCTTTGTGGTATAAAGCAGAGTTTAACTTGATTTATATTTGAGCTGAATACACTTGTTGTCTTAAAAGCAGACCTACTTGAAGAGTAGCATTTGATCTGCGCTCCAAAATTCCTAAGTTCCTTAGTTACATCAATCACACGTGAGTTACACATAGAGTAATCAAAATAAGACCTTCCAGACGTGTGGAAAGAAAGATCAGGATTTGCTCAGCAGTTTCCTGAACCACAGCAGTACCTCCAAGTGCTTCCAACAGCCCTACCAAAGGACAGATTCTGGGCCAACCCAGACCTTGCTGTGTCTTGTTCTTTAATTACAGGTTTGACTTCAGCACCAGACCCTTTCTATACCTAAAGACATTCTAAGTAAATTATCCTCCCTGACACCTTTCACTGTCAGTATCTAAGTTTATGGCTGCCGAAAGCCTAATTTTCCATTGCTATTTGATCACAAATAGATGAACGCAAGCCAATTCAACCGAATATTTGGACTTTGCTACCATTTTGCTTATATGAAAAATTGATAGTATTTAAGATCCAGAATACTGATACCTACTATTTTTTTTTCTTTTTTGGCTTTTTGGGTCACACCCAGGGATGCACAGGAGTTACTCCTGGCTTTGCACTCAGGAATTACTCCTGGCAGTGCTCAGGGGACCATATGGGATGCTGGGATCGAACCTGGGTCAGCTGTGTGCAAGGCAAACACCCTATCTGCTGTACTATTGCTCCAGCCCCTGGTACCTTCTTTTAAATATAA